AGAGCATAAAGTGGTGATATATTTATCTAGCATTTGAAATATCAAAATGCATCTATATTTAGTGTAGTTACCCTTAATAGTATAGTATTGAATGTTCCTGTAGTATAACAAAGAGTTTCATTCCATTTACCATCAGAATGACAGTATCTACTAGCTAGAGGAAAGAAGAACATATAATGAGCTTTGACACAGTTGTACTTGTTATCACTGACCATTAAATATTCCTTGGTAGCATGTGCCATGTACTATTACTCCAGCTTTTGTCTCTGGCCATTGATCCTCCTCAGGACAGTATAAATTAGATGGAGAAGGAGTTGGAGATGCTATTAAAGATGAAATTAACATCATGTCAGAAGATGAAGCAGTGTCTGAGCTACCCCCAGCAAAAAGAAGAAAGAAAAATAGTAAATCTACAATCAAGTAGGCCAACATTTCTCGAATCATACCACAGAACCTGCAGCTAGTATTCTAACATTGGCTACACAGCCAAGAATTACTATCTGTGATACAGGCCACTACCCAAAATCAATGATTCAGGCCTGATGTCTATTTTGATACAGCCCTGACTGGCATCAATGTTGAATCATGTCTGTTGCTCTGGCTGAACCAGGGCTGTACTCCAGCATGGTTGTATCATGAATGGTTATCATGATTGTATCATACTAGACTCATTGCTTTGCAGGCTGCCCAAAATCCATGATACAGGAATGTATCAAGGCTGATCCTGATTGATATCAGTCATGCTTCAAAGTAAAATTCTTGGCTGTGTAATATAGTTGGTTTATTAACCACACCCATGTGCATGGTGGCTGCTGACAGGAAGCATTATTTGTTTTTTTGGCTAACACAGCTAAGCAATAACAAAAATTTAAATTGAATTCCATAATAGGTAGATCTAATTTCTCCACCTTGTTTTGACATTGGTTAACATCTCAAAGTGCAAACGATTTTTATTTATTAATACCTTAGGTGCAAATGAAGTGTTAGCAATAACAAAGTATTAAACTGACCCGGAGCATATGACTAGCATTGAGTTTAGAGAGGGCTGCATTTGCATGCATCTATTCATTGCAGCAGTCCCTTCCTATTGACCTTGCACATCATCTATGGCTTCAGTTTACATGATTTAAGCCAGGCATACACTGGGCAACATGTTGCTATTTGGCGTATTATACACAACCACAATCATTCATTAAATAACATAATTTAGTTTCAGCCCAAAGGCCTTCATCAGTTGTACAAAAATAAAAAAACTAACAGTGCCAGAACATGTGGTAATGCCACTTTTCTATTATGATCCTCTTTAGTTTAACTTGGATATTGGATAGTTGCCTAGTGTATCTTATACAGTCCAGTTTATATTTGCATTTCTTAATGCATTTCAAGGATTTTTCATATTTGTTTTCTTTATTTTACTAAACAGTGAATACAGGAGGCAGTGGACAGCTATATTCTGTCCTTCACAAAAGAGGACCTACTCAACAACCACTCCTAAGGCACACAAGTACAATACATACATTACTACTAGTCAAGCAAATGGAGCTGCTTTAGCTATTGAAAATGCTACATTTGACAATAAAGAAGGAACAATGAACACCTCAATGTAGATTTATAAACTTCTCATAATATACACATTTTTGATATTCGTGTAATGTACAACTTCTCATAATATACACACTTTTGATATTCG